ATGCTTTTCAAGGTCAAAACTTCCTTTTTCAACATTCTAAAGGCAAGGAAGATTGTTTACTTTTCATACATTCTTGAATTTAAGTAAAACTACTATGTCATCCTCTGCCTTTCCTAATGCCACTCACCCATCTTTCCTTCCAGTCTAGTTAGCTGGATAAGCTCGCCATCAGGCTACAGCCCCTACCAAACATTGGGACAGGAGTTCAGCTCCATAAGAGATTCAGAAATCAGAACCACTTCTTCTGGCTGAGGACCATCTTCCTCTTTGGGGTCCAATCTCTAAATTCTGACCCTTTGCTCTCCCTGCGTGCCTAAGAAGTTAGGTCATTCTCGTATAATCCAAAATATGATCCTAGCACCACATAGTCAAGACTGGGGTCAGATCACTCATGGCAAGAACACGTAGCAAATAGCTTAACGAGCCCACTACCCTGTGATTTAAAAAGGGATACCACAGGTGTAGTGTTGGCTTGTGTTATGTTTTAGGGGTAACAAATATACGATATTTCAATGGTGTTATGAAGAAACTCAACTATTGTGAGCTAACATAGAAAAATCAACCATTTTGTATAACTTATTTCTTTGGGAAAGTAAGTTCTAAGCAAAAAACTTACAACTTTTGAGACACAACCCATTTATAAGCTGAGACCCATCTGACATAAAAGGAGATTTTATGTTTTTCAAAGCACGCTCCAGCACATTAACTCGTTTGAGTTTCACATATCCATGAGTTAGGGCCAAGTATTAATATCCCCAATTAGGAGAAAACAGGAGCAGGTAGAAAGGATAAAAAAATGACTTCCCTAAGATCATACAGGAAGCAAGTGACAGCTAAGTCTAAAATCCAAATTCCCAACTCCTACTCCACACTTTCTATTATATCATGATGCCTGCTTTCTTTAGTAAGGTTCAAAGCACTGACATTTTCCCTCATCATAATTAAGGTCATTTTCTGATTTCCATTCATTAACTGGTACATACCATCTGGCTTTGCACTGTTTTGCTGATTTTCTATGCAGCAACGAGGCAATCCTAGACCACTGGTTTTTCCCATATTTCATTACCGCTGCTTTCAGAATTTCATCCTAAAAGAATTGTCAAAGAAATAGAGTACATTCAATCACAAAACTCCAAATGAGAAAAGACAAAATTTAAATTAACTGTGTCAGAGTTGCTGAAAAATTTCAAGAAAATGAGAGATACATATGTGCACACCCACAAATCCTAGGTTTAAAAAAAAAGTCTAAACATCTCATTTACTGTAATGATAAAACAGCAAGCCAGAATCAGTAAAATGCAAGAAATTAAGGAGAAATTCATCAGAAGACCATCTCACCTTCCCTCACATACACATTCTCCCACCCCCGTAAACTGGGAGTGGGAATAGTCCAATCTGAGAAACCCTACTTGGTAGATTAAAAGTACCTTCCAATGTATGGTTGTCATTCTCTTCAAAAGGGAATAGCTCATTCATGTATTCATTAACTCAAACAACATTTCCTGAACACTTATCTTGTACTAGGTCCTATATACTTGGGGAAAAAGATTAAATAGACCTCCCAGCCCTCAAGAAGCAAACCATGACTCTATTGAATCCATTCTTCAATCCAGGCTTCCTGTTTCCTGCTAATCCATGACATTTACTCTCCAGTCCTTAACCCTTACCATGACTCAAGAATCGACATCTCAGGTCTAACCTAAGAATCACATATTTCTCCCCTACTCTACCAGTCAGCTCTCTCTCCAACCTCCCCCAGTCCCTTAGATACTATTTCAAAAGGGTACCCATCCTGATACGAAATTCACCAATCCCAGGGCAGCCTGGCAAGCTAAACCAGAGACTCTACGGACAATGCAGCCATAAATGAAAGCATTTGGGTCATTTTACTTTCAGGTTTTTTCCCACATTGAATCTGAGCTACATGCCTCCTGCCTGACCCACCCCACTGTGCCCCCTCCTCATCATCAGAGATAAAAAAAAAAAAAAACCTGCAGGGCTTTGAGCACTGTATAGGAATCCTGCTGTTACTTGATTTTGTACATCTGTCTCTCCCCTAGAAGTCATCTCTTCTCCAATTTAAATACCCTGGTTCCCTCAGTGCAAGCTGTGAGGCAGGCTTTTCACTGCCTTCATTTGGAACTTCGTTGCAGTACTACTGTACTTAAACACATCTTCAACTAACTATACACAGCAGTTATCTACCACACGTGGGGTCCCCATATGTCTGAATCAACTTCACAGCAACTGCTTTTACCCCACCAGTTTCAGCAAACATTTGCCAAGCAACCTACTTCATGTTGGTTACTGGCCTAGGTCCAAGGGATACTAAGACCTGGTCCTTGTCCTCTTGCAGTGCTATCTGCCAGACTCTGTTCCTAAATGTTCCAAATGTATTAACTCATTAATCCTAAAGAGGCAGGTATTGTTGTTAAGTGCCATGGAGTGAATTTTCAACTCATAACGACCTCATGTGACAGAGCTGAACTGCACCACAGGGTTTTCTAGGCTATAATCTTTACAAGAGCAGATCACCAGGTGTTTCTCCCAAGGAGCCACTTGGTGGGTTCAAACCATCAACCTTAAGTTTAGCAGCCGAGCCCAATGCACCACCAGAGCTCCTTAGGTATTACTATCACTCCTATTTAAAGAAATGAGGAAAGTGAGCGGGACCCAGAGCTTAAGAAACTCTCCCAGCATCACAAAGAAGTGATGCGATGCTTAAAAAAGGACAAAGCAAACTAACAAATGAATTAAAGAAGTGCAATGAGACCACTGTGGGGGGGAGGTGCAATTAATCCTAGTAAGTGGGCAAACACTACAAGAAGTTTCTAGGTTGACGTATGAAGAACAGTCAGAAGGGTGCCGAACAGGAGGACATTCCAAGCAGAGGGTACAGCAAGTAAAATGACAAAGCATGAAAAGACATGATGTGCTCCGTAAAGATAAACTCTCCGGAGGCAGGATGAGAAGGCAGAAAGGGAAAGGAGCTGGTTGAATGGACAAGAGAAACCCTGGGTGGAAAGAAGGAGTGTTTTGTCACATTATAAGGACTGCAACTAGGGTCACATAACAATATGTGTATAAATTTTTGTATGAGAAACTTGAGCTGTAAACTTTCACCTAAAGCACAGTAAAAATAAATAAAGAGATAAACTCAGTGCACTCTGAACACAAATTGCACTTAAGTCTTATTTCTATTTTACTCCTCTACTGCCTTCTGACTCGCCAATGGCATAATCCACTACAGTTCTGGGAGCAGAGACTGCTACAGGCAATCTGTCCTATTTAACTATTATCCAGGATGAGACCGAGTGGCAGAAGATAGGGCGATGCAGATCTTGGTATCTGTCGGGAGAACAGACAGCTTATGCCGAGACAACAGATATCCAAAGGGATACGGGTATAAACGGGATCCTTGAACCTGCGACTCAAGCTGCTTCCTTTCTGCCAGGAAGTCAATGAAGAAACAAAGTTACGGCGACAGCACTTCTTTATTTTCCTCCTTTTGAGTATCTGAGAGATGCGCGGGTGCCTAGGCCGAGAGAGGGAGGTGCTCCAGAAGACCAACTCTCGCTGATGCCCCATTCGCCCCCTCCACCCTAAGTTCCAGCAAAGCAGGGGGCAAATTCCAAATTCAGCAAATGTTCAGTGAGGACCTAACAAGTGCCTAGCAGTGAACTCGGGCTGGGTATTCAGATGGTTTAATCACGGTCCCTGTCCTTGAGAAGCTCAGAAAGCAAGAGGTCGGACACACATAAGAGGCGCAGACCACGCAAGGCATAGTCCTCACCGCCCCGATCTCCGCGCGCGTGCGCAAAAGCCGCGAGAGGGGGCGGAGGGCAGCGGTCGGCGGGAAAAGGAGACTCACCTCGGTATTCCTCCACACGCCCCCCTTGATCATAATTCGAGGCATCTTGGTGGCGGGGTGTCTCGGCACACGGCCGAGTTGAGCTTCAGAGAAGCAGTAACGGCGCTGCGGCCACGGAACCTAAGGCCGCCACTTCCTCCAAACGCGACCTTCTGCTTTGAAGAGATCTGCGCAGACGCAACGTGGAGTGGCGCGAGACCTCGGGTGGATGAAAGGGAAGAAGCGCCTTCTTAAAGCTCAAGCCTCGCAAAACCATCAAACCACTCTGGCCAAAGCGGTGTACGCGGCACGCCTCTCCAGGACAGGTTAGCGGAAACAGCGGCTCTCGCGAGATACTAGCGGTAGCGTTCGGCTGGAAACGCAGCGGTGAGATTGGTCGTGACGTCACCGAGTGGCTGGGTGTAGGTCCGTCCTGTGTGTAGAGTTTTCAGCCCACTTGGTCAGAGAAGAGTTGTTAGTTAGTTTAGCACTTTATGGGGCATTTCGTTAATAGGAATTTACTCAGAATGCTCAGGTAATAGCCTACTTAAGTCTCGGTTTCCAAATCTATAAAATAGAGATAATAATGGTACCAACCTCATAGGGTTGCTCTAAGGACTAAATGACATCATGTACCTAAATCTAGCACAGTATCTGATATATAATAAACAAAACACAAACTGTTGCCGTCGAGACGATTCCATCTCATGCAACCTTATATGTTACAGAGTAGAACTGTTCCGTAGGGTTTTCTAGGCTGTAATCTTTATGGCAGCAGATTGCCAGGCCTGTCTTCTGCAGAGCCGCTGGGTGTGCAAAGCCCCAACCTTTTAGTTCAAAAAAAAAAATTGGCGTGGAGTGGATTCTGACTCATAGCGACCCTATAGGACAGAGTAGAACTGCCCCATAGGATTTCCAAGAAGCGGATGGTGAAGCTGCCTAATTTTTTTTGGTTACCAGCTGTAGCTCTTAAGCACTAGGCCACCAGGGCTGCAAACCGTTTGTATCACTGAGGGACCTCTGATACTCATAGTGACCCTGTGTACAACGGAATGAAACAATACCCTGTCATCCTCACAATCATTGCTATGTTTGAGCCGATTGTGTCAATCCATCTGTTGAAGGTCTTCCTCTTTTTCGCTGGCCCTCTACCAAGTGTGATGTCCTTCTCCAGAGACTGGTCCCTCCTGATAACGTGTCCAAAGTACGTGAAACAAAGTCTCACCATCGTCGCTTCTAACAAGCATTCTGGCTGTATTTCTTCCTAGACAGATTTGTTCATTCTTCTGACAGTCCGTGGTATATTCAATATTCTTCGCCAACACCATTATTCAAAGCCATCAATTCTTCTCTGGTTTTCTTTATTCATTGTCCAGCCTTCTTATGCATATGCCGTGATTGAAAATATTATGGCTTGGGTCAGGCCCACCTTAGTCCTCAGAGTGACATCTTTGCTTTTTAACATTCTAAAGAGATCTTTTGCAGCAGACTTTCCCAATGCACAACGCCACTTGATTTCTTGACTGCTGCTTCCATGGGCATTGTAGATCCAAGTAAAATGAAATTCTTGACAACGTCAATATTTTCTCCATTTATCATGATGTTGCTTATCGGTCCAGTTGTGAGGATTTTTGTTTTCTTTATGTTGAGGTGTAATCCATGCTGAAGACTGTAGTCTTTGATCTTCATCAAAACTTTTGTTTTTTTTTAACTTTTCTGGATTTTGTTGGGAGTAGGGGTGGGCCTTGTGTCCCAGACATCAGAGAATTAGCACAGATGTTATTCTTTTTTTTATTTTTTTAATTGTACTTTAGATAAAGGTTTACAGAACAAATAGATTCTCATTAAACAGTACACATACTGTTTTGTGACAATGGTTAACAACCCCACAGCATGTCAACACTGTCCCTTCTCAAACTTGGGTTCCTTATTACCAGCTTTCCTGTCCCCTCCTGCCTTCTAGTCCTTGTCCCTAGACTGTTGTGCCCCATTAGTCTCGTTTTGTTTTATAGGGCTGTCTAATCTTTGGCTGAACGGTGAACCTCAGGAGTGACTTCATTACTGAGCTAAAAGGGTGTCCAGGGGCCATGCTCTCAGGGTTTCTCCAGTCTCGCACAGATGTTATTCTGATGTTAACTCAAAGAGTGGCCAGGCACCATTGCTGGCAATGGGCACCATTTTCTCTGTGAGTAAATCTAAAGGCATGTATGAAGCCAGCACAATTGTACTGTGTTTTAATCCTGGTTCATTTGCTTTGGCTGTGTCCGAAGATAACATTTTGATAGGAAAAGAAATCCTGTCTTGCATCTTGGGCACTTCACCATGGGCCTCAAAATTCCCTTGCCACTTAAAGGTTTTTGGGAGACCTGACCTACACCACTCATTAGCCAACCAGTGGTGTTTCCTTGGTGCTGAGGGAGACTGGCTACTGAAATGCGGAGAGTTGTTAGTCTGACCGTGTCACAGCCTGACGGTATATGGTTGGCTTTTTTTTCTCACCTTTTTCTCCCAATGTTTGCCTCTTGCCTGACTGATGGGAGGCCCTAAGACTCATGATTCATGGTCATTGAACTCTTACCCTGCTTAGCTGTGTAGACAGATGATACTAAAGCTGCAGGACAATAGTATTAATACCTGATATAGATCTAGCCTTCATGTTTTCCTGACTTGTACCTAGCGGGTATTAAATACCAAAAGGATATTAATAAAATGAGAATAGTTTTACCAAAAATAATGAAATCTCTCATAAAGTTTGTATTTTACCATTGATTTGAGAGCATCCTTAGAAAACTAAATATTATAAGCAGGATGAGAAGGCAGGAGGGGACAGCAGCTAGTTGGATGGACACAGGAAACCTAGGGTGGAAAAGGGGGGTGTGCTGTCACGTTCTGGGGATTGCAGGTAGTGTCGCATAACAATATGTGTATAAATTTTTGTGTGAGAAATTAACTTGAGCTGTAAACTTTGACCTAAAGCACAATAAAAAAAACCAAAAGGTTCCCCTAAAAAAAAATCCGAGGAAAGTGCCAGAGACTCTGAGCACCTAATGTTCCAGGTTTCTATTCTACCAGGGCTGTTGTTGAAAATAATATTCTAACGCAAAACTGTCCACCTATGAGGTAGTATTATTGAGCTCTATCTGTCGTTGTATAATGATAGTGAAGTTACCTAAATAATTTGCCATTGTTTCACTTTTTGTTGTCTGTTTATAAAACATGTGCCAGGTTGTGACACTCGGGATTTAGGAATTCTCAAGAGGTCAGAAAGGAAGTGATTTTTAAATAAATCATATCTTTGGCTAACTATATATAACATTCTTTTGCTTTTCTCAATTGGAATACGAAGTTCTGGTCATTTAATTGACAAGATGAGACTCTGAAACTCATTCTCAACAAAATATTTGCCCTTTTTTCTGAAAAGATAGTGTTTAATACTGACAAGGTAAAAACCTAACTTTTGCTTACAAACAAAACAGATCTTCTGTATTCATTGAAGCATTCAACAATTATTTAGATTTATTTAAAATATGCAATAGATTTACTCAACAGACCCGATAAATTAATCTCAAAATAATTTTAAAAAACGTTGCCATTGAGTCAATTCCGACTCATAGAAGCCCTATAGGACAGAGTAGAACTGCCCCATAGGGTTTCCAAGGAGCAGTTGGTGGATTCAAACCGCTGACCTTTCAGTTAGCAGCCAAGCGCTTAACCATTGTGCCACCAGGGCTTCTGAACACATACTAGGTACTAATAAACATCATGGTGATTGACAAATTGGTTAACCAAAGAAAGCTTCGTCCTCATCCTCCAGCATAAGCTTGGCCTGGATTCCTGTCACCATGATTCCGTTAGCCTATCACTTCACTGCTCTCTGGTCCAGATGGTCTGCCTCCTCTTGGCTAAACTTCTAACCTAGTAGCTGTGCTTATTACCAATAACAATACTAAAAAAACAAAAACAAACAGTTGCCTCTGGGTGTGTTGGAACAACCAACTTTTCAGCTAGAAGCACTCAACTATGTGCACCACACAGAGGCTCCTTAACAATGCTCTACAAATGTGTTTTACTCTGATTTGGATATGTGTGTGCTTCACTTCTTCTTAATGGATTTTCTGATTTTTAAAACCAGAAGGGGAACAAATATCTACTTATGCTCTCTGACTTCCATTTCTAGAACCAACAAGAAAATGACATGATGCACTGAGGACACCATCATCACTTCTGGGTATTCCTGCTGCAAATGAATGACCTGAACCTAATAATGAGGAAACATCAGGCAAACAAACCCAAACAAAGAAGTCACCTGAATGCTTCAAAAACATCAATTTCATGAAAAACAAAAGCCAAGGAACTGTTTCAGATTAAAGGAGACTAAATATATGACAACTAGATACAATACCATGATTGCTGGGTAAATACTGGATCAGGAAAAAAAAACCTGCCATATGGAAATGACTAGGACAATTGATAAAATTTGAATGAGGACTGTGTATTAGATAATAGTATCATATCTATGTTAACCTGTTGCCATCCAGTCGATTCTAACTCACCGGGACTCTATAGGACAGAGTTGAACTGCCCCACAGGGTTTCCATGGAGCGGCTGGTGGATTCAAACTGCTGACCTTTTGGTTAGCAACCAAGATCTTAACCACTGTGCATGTTAAATTCCCTGCATTTGGTATTTGTATTATGGTTATGTTAGAGAATATTCTTGACCTTAGGAGATGCTGCTGATGTATGGAAGTGTAAAGGATTATGATGTCTACCACTACTCTTAAATAGTCAATACAGTCAAATGGTCAAAATAATAATGTTAATAATACGAGAAAGAGAGAGAGCGCGAGCACAAATGTGGACTGATGTTAACAATTGGAGAATCTAAACCAAAAAAAAAAACTCATTGCCATCAAGTCGATTCCGACTCATAGCAACCTAGGTCAAGAATAGATGGGTGTTCGTTGTACTATTCTTGCAACTTTTCTATAAGTTTGAAAGTTTTCAAGATATAAAGTTAAAAAAAAAAAAAAAGCTAAGTACAGTGATTCCTTGTTGAAATCAGACGTTTGATTGAGGACAGCAACACTGACAAAGATAATCAACCAGATAAGGCTCATCAGTGCTTGCTTTGTGGGCTGTCTCTGTTCAGGATTGTCTCGTAAAATCCAAAGAACCTGTGAAGAGAGGAATGGCATTAAGGCTGTGTTCCATTACAAGACTAACAGTTCTCAACCAACACACTCAACCCGAGATGCAGAGCCATGATACCTGCCCAAAGTACCGCCTGTGGCAAAGGACACCATCCACTCCCACTCCAGGAGAGCCGTTTGCCTTCTCTCCATTACGAAGCCTCTCCAAAGCCTGCTCTTTAGGCTTGCCTCTAGTTTTTATACTATTTTTTGAATGCTCTTTAACCCACCAGGAGGGAGTAAACTTGATAGGAAGGGCACCGCTGGTTGCCAGTTGTGAAGCTCCTCAACTTCTCTTATCTCATTCTTCAGCTTGTTGGCCTCCTCCTTCACCCAGAAAGGCAAGCTATAGAAGAGGAAAACATCCTCAGTTTGGATCTGTCTGACACAAAATTTACAAACACCATCAGCAGACAGGATATTACATGCTCCAAAAATAAGAAGACCTCTGTCTCAGTTATCTAATACTGCTGTAACAGAAATATCACAAGTGGGTTGCTTTAACGAACAGAAATTTATTTTCTCACAGTTCAGGAGGCTAGAAGTCCAAATTCAGGGCACCAGCTCTCGGGTAAGGTTTTCTCTCTCTCGGCTCTGAGGGGAAATCTTTGTCTCCCTTCAGCTTCTGTTCCTCAATTCCTTGGTGACCTCCACATGGCATCTATCTTTTCCCACTTGTGCTTGTTTGTCTCTGTGTCTAATCTGCTCTTTTCATATCTCAAAAGTCAGTTGGTTTAAGATACACCCTACATTGATACGGCCTCATTAACATAACAAAGAAAACCCGTTCCCAAATGGGATTACTTCCACAGGTATAGGGGTTATAATTCCAATACGTATTTTTATGGGACACAGTTCAATCCATAACAACCTCTAATTTAGGAAACCAGTTTCAAAATAATGCAGCAGGTTAGTTGTTCACCATTTGTCCCGCCCCAAACCTAGATCTCTTTCTGCCCTCTTCTGCCCTGCTCTCTGCCTGGGAGGCTGACCCTTCCAGCCTGCATCTCCTTGGCTCCTCCATGTCCTCTAGCTTTGATCTGAGTTGGCTAACAGGAGGCAGCAACAGAAGATCAGGGGACAGGAAGAGAGAGGTTGCGGTATTTCTTAGCCAGCTCCTCTGCTCCCTCCCTATCTCCTGAGGTACCCCAGTTCTGGCAGGGGCTGCATTCTCCAGGGTCACAGCTCCTGTCAGGCAGTCCTTCCACTGCTCCACCTCTCACTGCTCTGCTAACCTTGAGCACTCTTCTTGCTGCTCAGGCCCGGGGGTAGTGAGTCTCTGGATGCTTTGTCTTCCCATGTTAGTTCCCTCAACACATCTGTAAACTATCCCTTCTTAAACTGTCTTCCAAATCCTAGCTTAGTGTGCTGTTTTCTGCTGGGACCCTGGCTAATACAGACATACATTAACTGGAATAGCGTTCCTTCTCTTTGCTTCCCAACTTTATCATTGTTATGGATTAAATTGTGTCCTCAAAAATGTTATAAATCCTACTATACCCGTGGTTATAGTAATCCCTTTTGGGAATAGTATTTTCTTTGTTATGTTAATGAGGGAGTATTAGTGTTAAGTGTGTCTTCAATAAATATCTTTTGAGATATAAAAGAGCAGATTAAGCAAGCAACAAGAGAGCAGTTGAGGGAAGATAGATGCCACACCACGAGATCTCCAGGGAACCAAGAAATAGAAGCTGAAAAGAAATGAGGACCTTCCCCCAGAGCCAACAGACAGAGAAAACCTTCCACTAGAGCTGGCACCCTGAATTTGGATTTCTATCCTCCTAAACTATGAGAAAATAAACTTCTGTTTGTTAAAGCCATCCAGTTGTGGCAATTTTTACTACTTGTTGTTGTTGTTAGGCACTGTCAAGTTGGTTCCGACTCGTAGTGACCCTACATACAACAGAATGAAACACTGCCCGGTCCTGCGCCATCTTCACAACTGTTGTTATGCTTGCACCCATTGTTGCAGCCACTATGTTACAGCAGCACTAAATAAGGCAGTCATCTAGGACCAGATCAAATATCACCCCCTCTACAATGCATTCCCAACTTTCCCACATGTGTACTTCCTGTATGTGTACATTGTACCATGTACACTTATAATCATTTTAAGATTATTCAATTGCCGGACACAGACCACTAGACAATAAGTCTGGAAGTAAGCCTCATATCTTATTATCAGATCCCTGAGGGAAGGACCTGAATCTCCCAATTCTCTTATTGGCCACAGCACAGAGGAATATGAAGAGTATGCTGGTCTCACAATGTTCTGTCCATCTTCAGAATTTTTTTTAAAAACTTACCTTTTTTAGGAAAACCTGACATATTTGTAGTCTATGATTTAGACATGTAAAAATAATATTTGCATATGAAAGGCAATCCACAAAAGGTAAATAATTGGGTAGGGTGGTGGGATTGGGGTTATTGCTCTTATTTTGAATATTCTAGAATGGTGTTTATAAAAACTGTAAAGTATACACATGAGAGGCCCTACTTATGTGCCTTAAGTAACAATGTAGTATTACCTCAGCTGAACCCTCATGAGTCAGACTTTGGGACACTTGCCCACTCTATCCACACTTACATAAGACTGACTTGTATCAGAAAGTCAAAATTTTTTATGCTGGCAAATATCTCTTTCTGGGTCATAAATCTATTTCGGTAAATAAACGGAGTTAAGGAAAAAATATGAGATCGGAAGAATGATACTTCCCTTAAATATGGGAGTGTTCCAATGGCTTTCTCTCTGCCTCTTGAAGTTCTAACCATCCTCCCTGGCTGCGACCATCTGAACATGTATCTTTTCCAACAATTCTTAAATTCTGGAAAACAGGAACCCTGTCTTTTTGCTCCATGTAAACCTTCGCATAGTGCATACCTAGCCCAACACATGACATCTGGTAGTCTGTCAATCATTTGTGTTAAATACATGCATATCCCAGCTGCCAGACTCCACAGACACTTGTCCTCTGTTATGGTTTGAATTGTGTGTGTCGTGTCGTCGCGCCAAATATTTACTGAAGCCCTGGCCCCTGTACCTGTAGAGTAATCCTGTTTGGAAGTATGGGTTTCTTTTGTTATGTTAATGAGGTGATACCAGAGTAGGGTGATCCTAAGCCTGAGTTATAAAAAGGGTAAAATAGACACAGAGGAAGAGAAAGATAGATGCATCTTCAAGTCCAGTGTGGCACAATGAGTTCCTTTATGTGGCCTTTTACATTAGTTCTTTGGAAAAATAGCTTGGGAGACTTTTCCCCTAAGCCCTGAGGAGTTGTTACCTTTGCCCTAGTTCTTTGGAGAAGCAACATGCAGGACTTCCCAGAGTCCTTTCTACCCCAGAGGGTTTGTTACTTCTGCTTAGGGGAGGAGCAGGTCTCTGGGCAGAAAATGTTACTTTTGTACAAAATCTGAGTTGATTGACATCTCATGGATAACTGAGGATTGGTTGAACTCTGGTCTGGTGAGGGAGGCCCCACCTTGTAACTGTTGAGGACTGGGATATATAAATGGCTGAATCGGAGATGTTTTGAGGGCTTCCTGCTATGCAGGAGCCAGAAGGGGAGTGGTGTCCTTTGAGACACAAAGGCCCCTCCCAAGCCTAGTGAAAAAGGCTGCTGCTGAGAGAAGATGCTGGCAGATAACTGATCTGGCAGAGAAGCAAAGCCACATGAGAACCAAGCAGTCCTGAAGCTGCTACACTGGCCATGAGTTGGGCCTGCTAGCAGGGGAGAGGCCTGATTATAGAGAGCAGCTGAGAGAGCTGCCCTGCTTGGAAGCTGTCCTGCACTGAGATGAACGGAGGGACATGCTCTCCACTTTAGGGGAGATTTCCAGACGTTGCCTGTGTGCTTCCTGATCCTAAATTTATCCTGATCCTGAATTGTAGCCTGTTACTTCCCTAATAAACCACATAACTGTGAGTATGGTCTGGAGCTCTTTGTGGCCGTTACGAAGAAATTATCGAACCCAGCAGAGAAGTAGAGAGTGCCACCGGGGAAACAGCTGGCTTCAGAAATGGTGAACAAATTGGAGAACCGAGGTATGTCTGACCTTCACGTCATAGGAACCAGCTTTGTGCTGATCTTGATTCTTATCCCTCATGAATTTAGACAAGTCTTTATTCTACAACACACCCAGGAATGCCAAGGATTGCCAGCAACTACTGGAAGCTCAAACAGACAAAGAAGGACCTCCCCCTAGAACCACACCTGAATTTGGACTTGTAGATGCCTAAACTGTGAGAAAATAAATTTCTGTTCTTTAAAGCCATCCACTTGTATTTTTTATTACGGCAGTACTAGATAACTAAGACACCCTCCAAATGTCTCTCCGAAAACCCTCCTTACAAACTTTGCCCCACCCTCCTGCTGGGATTCAAAAGGCCCTTCTGTTTTTTTGGAGTCTATGGACTCCTCCATAGGAGAAAATAATAAACAGCTGATATTTTTATAAAAAAGGAAGTATATAAAACATGGTGAGAGAACTCACTTGGGAATTGGTGGAAGAGGCTCAAGTGGAATAAATGTATCAAATTTCTTTTCATAAGGCACTCTGAAAAACAGGAAAGGCAACCATAAAATTGGTATGGCTTCTATGGCAAAGAGATCAATATGTCATCGTGTTCAATAAAATGATTTATTTTCTGACATTAATTTTCATGTATGAGCTTCAAAACTATAACAGCCATAACTTTTATTATTTTTGATCATTTTTAGTGAACATCATTAAATCACACATAATTGATTTTTAAAATGATATTTTAAATGTAATACACCAACTATTTTTCTTTTAATTTAATGATCCTCTTTTCTCCTCAACCACTCTGGTCTAAGTTTAGTTCTCAGTTTAAGCCAGCCCGAATAGACATCATTACCCAACACTCTGACTCAGGATGAACACTGAAAAGTCTTCAAATTTGTGATTACAACAATAAGAACAAAATTAACAACCACTCCTAAATTATAGTCAAGATCCTATGTACAATTTCAATTACACACATATGTACATGCATATATTAATTAACTAGATAAGAAAACTTTTTGAAATTTTCACCCAATCTTGTCCTGTTGAGATCTATCATCTTTAAAAGATAATTTATATATAGCAGAAAGAGATACAATTCCTTTAAAGTTAGCCAAGTAACCCCAGTATTAACATACACTTACACTGAAAACTTCACTGATGGAAGAGTTGATCCTGCTTTGTGGAAATCTTTACTCTCTTCTGGGTACATATATGGATTATCCCCTGGAGTTAACTTTGGAATTCCATTCCTGGGATCAATATCTGTGAAAGATGTTTGAAAATGAGATCATGGTCTCGGGGAACATCTAGCTCAATTGGCATGACACAGCTTATAAAGACAATGCTCTACATTCTACCTTGGTGAGTAGTGTCTGGGGTCTT